AGAGAGAGAGAGAGAGAGAGAGAGAGAGAGAGAGAGAGAGCCAATATAGAGAACGAATCGAATCGATGTACGAGAGAGCAGAGAGAGAGAGAGAGAGGAGGGGGAGGGGGTAGATAGGGGGCGTGCACTGGGTAACTTTAATGAATGAGTGACGGAGATAGACATAAGACTTCTAATGAGGTCATAACTGCGCGTAATCACACATTCATCGCTTGCATCGCAAATGCAGCGCGGCGGCGCGCGCGTTGGTAGTGGCGGCGGGGTTTGTGGGGTGGTAGAGGGGTGGTAGAGGGGTACAGGGGTAGCAGTGAGTACACTGCTGCGAATTATTCGCCGTCCTCTTCCCCGCTGCTGCTGCTGCTGCACTGTGAAAAATAGTCGGTAGGTTTACAGGAAAGTTTTCCTTGACGCATGTTGTAAAAGTACAATTTGAAATCGTAAAAATATGTGCAGAACGTATCGACTTAAAATCCATTGGCGAGTAAAAAATCTGCTCTCGTAAATTTACAAGTTAAATTATAATTCGACTTTACAATTTTTTGTAAATTTACGACGATATTTTTCACAGTGTGCTGCTGCTGCTGCTACTGCTCTCGCTAATTGAATTCCCTCTTCCGGCTGCGCCGCGTAAAACGACGCGCCCTCTGCTGCCGCTGCACACCGCGACGCACCCGGCTACTTTACGACGGCCTCCCCACACACTCCCCCACACCCCACACCCCCTCCCTCCGAATTCCTTTTTTTATTATTTTCATTCTTCTTTTTTTACCAGCAACGATATCTTTTACGCGTGTTCATTATGAATGCTAATAAGGCGACAACGTTGACGCCCCGCCGCCACCCACCCCCGCTGTTCTGCAGCTCGCTTTCTGCACCGCACCGCCTGCGCTGATGTGCCCTCGCTAGCACCTCCGCGCCCTATGTCAGTTCGGCAGCCAAGTCACTAGAGTTAGTGTCGGTTACCTTCCCTTGGGGAGTTAAAGAATCTAGAGTGTCTAACTAAACTAAAGAAACAAAGCTCCCTAACTACCATTACCATTATTTTGAGACCTAGGACAGTGTTGTGTCATGCACCTGAAGGGGGGAGGAATGTGGCCGCCATCGACTAATAACTGTGAACTGAAACTTAGGCAAAATCATCCCAAATTGACCACTTACCACTTGGGTATGTATTGTTGGGTACTGCAAATAGATTATGGCCAAGACTAAAAGTCCATTTTTGAGAAATTTAGAGGGTACAAAGGCTTTCCGAAGTTGTACAAGTTCACTTTCTTAAGAAACAACGTTACATTTATTTCGTTCGCAAGGTTTGGGTTTTCATTCGTGTTACTTCTTTTTGTGGCAAATCTTACCCGTTTGTTTTCAATGCCAGAGCATAGACCTTTAAGGGTAAGGTCGACGCGTGGCTTCCTGCCGGTCGGAGCGTGCATAGAGAGGTGTGCACTTTGATTTGGCACCTTGGTCCGTAGCTCAGCCCCGTGTGCCCCGCGCAACCCTGGGGGGGACTCCTTCACCCCGCAGGGCCTACTCGGGGAAGACAAATGCCGTTCTGCAAAACTTCGCGGCGCCGGATGACAAGACACACTCTCCTTCACCCATCTCTCTCTCTCTCCCTCCCTCCCTCCTCTCCC